TYCYKGTTTCACTTTGAGCAAAGTTCAAAAGAAAACATGTCAATTATGGGACATAATGGGTAAAATCATTGTGTATTATACCAAGTTTCTTAATATAAAAATGTTTTCTTTGACTTTTTGTATTTCATGAATATACATGACACAGGCACTTTAAGTTTTTTCTTTTTTTTGCATTTGGCTCCTTTTTATCTCATCTTTAGGAAATCAATTCAAACCTAATTTATCATAATATCTAAGTACAACCTTGTCTCCTTCATTCAAGTCTCTTTCTTAAACTGAATAAACAGAATGTAGAAATATTAAAGCCTTATGAGCACAAAGGACACTTTTAAAAAAACGAAAAAGAAATAGTTTCTAATTTTGCAGAAACTGTTTTCATAAAGAAACCTGTTAAGTTCTTTGCTTTGTGGGGGGAAATTGAAAATTGCATTGTGTTATTTCAAAACAAAACCTCAGTAGTTTTGACACCAATTGTGGAATAAATGATAGATTAATTATATTTAAGATGAGTTAATTTCATGTTTGTTAAATAATCTGGTTTGTCTAACGGTTGGACTAGTCGGAGGTGTCGATTATGTAAAGGTTGCTGTTTTGATAAAGGTGCCTGTTGTTTCTCAAGTTGATTCCTCCAGGAAGCTGCCTTGCATATTTCCACGTATCGTCACGTGTGATCCTAACTGATGAAAATGACACAGGGAATCAGGTGTGTTAGAACCAGAAGAGCAACACCTGAAACATCCAGCACATCATGTTCTGATCGCCTTGAATGGAAAGCAGTGAAGGAAACAATTTGCCACAACAGCTCTGGGTTATTTTAGCAGAATTTCTTCCTGCAAAGGAACTGAAATGTTGCGAGCACGTTAATGTATCTTCTCCAGCTGACTGGTTCGGGGCGTTGCTGCTTTCCTTTTAGAAATGTGGTCAGAACCAAATGAGAAGCATGAACAGACGTTGAGGGCGTGTAGCTGATGAATCCATGAACAAACAACTGTCTCACTTTACATAAAGACTTCACTTTTCTTCTTTTGTCTAAATCTAAATCTATAGATTTATTCATGTTTTAGAAGCAAAGCAGACACTTTTATCCAAACTGGTTTGGTCTGTTTTTATTTTGTTTTTTATTATCACACGTTAGAAACACGACAGACAACTGTTTGGTGTCGTTCCCTCAATCCAGTCTGATTTATGAGCAGTCATTCAGTAACTTTTTTGTTTCCCTTTTTCCAGAGAATCAGGCAGCATCAACAGACTGAAGAACACAATAATGGAAAACATCATCTTCAGCCCCAAAGAGCTGCTGAAACTGAGCGTGCCCTCCATAGTTTACGCAATTCAGAACAACATGGCCTTCGTTGCACTGAGTAACCTTGATGCAGCGGTGTATCAGGTATGACTGAAACGCTCTTCTTCTTGTGTTCAAAAGACACATAAATGAAAAAAAACCTGTTTTATTTACAAGACATTAAATAGACCAAACCCTCCCATCTGGGGACGGTTCTTCATTAATCAGAAGTTTTAATCATGAAATCTCTTTAGCCCAAACCCTCTGGTTTTCTACTTTAATTACTCTTAAGTTCTTTTAGTCAAACATAGACATGTTTGGTTTCTACAGAAAGGTCAGAATCTTGGCTGGAAGCTGGTAAAACCATTTCTGTATAAACACTCAAGACAGTTAAAACTACAAGCTGTTGAAGATGAAAGTGAAAATAAAATAGGTTTAAAAATTTGGCAAGTCAGAAATGTCAAAATATTTGTGTCTAATAATAGGAGGCATAATGTGTTTTTTTTATTTTTGATAATGTGTAATTATCACTACTTTTATAGGGTTTTGTATGTTTTATTCATGATTAAATGCAGCAAAATAAACTATTTCAAAGGTAACAGATCTTTGTAATACTTAAGTTTATTTACATAATAACTTTAATTGCTGGGTGTTCGGCCCCTCTGCTGTTGACCGACAATAACTGTGGCCCCTGGAGCAGTTTAGTTGAATAGCCCTGGCATACTTACATGGTCTGGGGACATTTCGACATTACTCCATGTGTGTGGAGCGCTGCAGGGGTAAATGACTAAGAGAGATTCTTACAAAAATATCAAGTTTTTCATCTGATCTTGTACTTTTCTGCACAGGTGACGTACCAGCTGAAGATCCCGTGCACGGCTCTGTGCACAGTCTTCATGCTGAACCGCTCCCTCGGCCGCTTGCAGTGGTTCTCTGTGTTCATGCTCTGCTCTGGCGTCATACTCGTCCAGTGGAAGCCTGCGGAGGCCACTAAAGTCCAGGTACGGTAGAGATGATCAGTGAAAAGAGCACAGACGTTACACGCTGCACAGCAGGCTAACCGAGGCTAATCCTAACATCTGCAGCTCGTTGTTGTAGTTTTTTAGTTCTGCTGTAAGTGGCTTTAATGATCTAAACTTAGCACAAAAAGGAAGGTCATTAGTGTTTGGTAGATTGATTCTTTGAAAAATGCTTCTTGCTAATAAACCTTATAACATTGGAAAGCTTAATTTTAAATGGTGCCACATTTGTAAGGAACATGCATTTGTGGGATGAGTGTGGGTTGCACATATGAAAAAATAGTTTGCTTGTTTTGAGCTTCTGGTAGCTGGTCTAAGATTTATTATTAAGACACATTGTTACAACAAAGAAGTAATCTCTGAGTGTGGATGTTCTCAGTCTGAGCAAGCAGAGCTGGAAATATTAATATACCACCGTTTTTTTTTAGCATATCCTAATGAAGATTTCTTGATTTTCATTTGAGCAAAGAGCAAATCTTAAACTGTATTTGAATATCTAAATTTCCCAGTTAGTATTGGAAGCAGCTTCTCAAACACAGTGAGTTGTTTTCTGCTCAGACTCGAGGTTTGTTCCACAGGAAAGTGCTTCAAAACCTTTAGGATTATATTTCAGATGTTTCCTTGAAGGAACCCATCGATAAAGTATTTATTCACCATATTTTGACAAAACGAGTGAACATTTTAATAGCAGCCAGTAGGGGTGTCCCGATCCGATATTGATATCGGATATCGGTCCGATATCAGCCAAAAAATGAGTATTGGATTTTATCGGCCTGCATAAAAAATGTCCGATATAAGCGCTCCGATATTAGCGGTCCATTCCAGCAGTTCACTGACTCCACTTCAGTGTTTCTATCCAGCAGCGCTTGGATCCAGCATGCAGAGCTCACATGATCACAACAACATGCAGCGCTAACAAGTTAGCAAGAATGTCGGTAGAACTTTCTATTTTCATCAGAAACAGAGTTGCAGCTAAGTGCAAAGTTGTCACGCACAAGTTTTCCGAGGGGGACCACAGAACCATGTACGTTTTAAACCGGAGCGACAACTACTCTCCACCCTGGCAGCAGCTTTGCGTTTCGGCTCGGTTCGTTCAGCCTCGGTCCAGTGACCGCACACAGCCGCGCTGTTTCGGAACCTCCTCTCTGGTCCGGTCGGTGGTTCTAAGCTGGCAGAAGCGAGGACAGCACGCTTACAGTTTTGACATTCTGTGGATTAGCTCTTGATGGACAGAAGAAAGGAGAGCGCAGCTTTTGTTTTGAGCGTGACATGACGAGAGCAGTGATAAAAACTGCTCCCTGCAGGAGTGAGAGGCTAATCTCCACATGA